AATGGCTAGTGGAACTAATGCGGTTGATGGGTCTGAATTGGAGAAGGAAGTGGTTAATGAGACTAATGCAGGGGATGGGTCTCAGTTGGAGGTGCAAACTACAAATGGGACTAATGCGGCTGGTGAATCTGTACTGGAGGCGCAAATGGTGAGTGGGGCTAATGTGGGTGATGGGTCTGAATTGGAGGCGCACACTGTTAATGGGACTAATGTGGGTAGTGAGTCTGAATTGGAGGCACAACTACTGAATGGGACTAATTTGGGTGATGGGTGTGAATTGCAGGCGCAAAGGGTGAATGAGGCTAATGGGAGTTGTAGGTTTGAATTGGGTCCACAACCGATGACTGGGGTCCAATTGCAGGAAGTCGGGGCAAGGCGCATGCCACCTACTAAGAGCCGGGATTTGGTTTTGAATGAAATGGATTCTGGATTCACGAACAGAGAAGTGCTCAGGTTCGGTGATGATCAGGTTCATGAGACAGGCGTGGGTTTGCCTAGTACGAATAGAGAACTGGTTCTCAGTTTTGATCCAACCACGAAAGATAAAGGTACGTTTTTATGTTAGCAGAGATAGAGGTAAAGTGAGTGACATTACTTTATGTGCATGGAGGCTGAGATGTTGCTCTGTATTGTTTTATCTGGGTTTTTAAGCACCTTGATCATCTTAAGTATTGCTGAGTTTTCGTCCTTATTTCCAAGCTGGCTGCTATCTGTTGTTCCTTACCTGTTTCGGGGTTGTTTTACCAAATATACGGTCTTTTCTCTCTTATGCCAAGCTCTCAACCCCTGTAACTGAAGATTTAAATGTATGATCCTGCTTAATATAGTTATTGCAGGGTTTGTGTTTCAAATGATTAAATTTCACTTTCTTCCTCTTTATTTCTTGTAGAAATTCAGAGGAGTACAGGACTTAGATACAAGCACCTTGCTCATAGGCGCACTAGAGGGCCGGTTAGGATTCGGGACGCCGAAGATTTGGGCACAGACTTATCAAATAGCAAATATGATTCCCTGTCTACCCCTGAAATTAGCAATGCGCAAGAAGCACTTAGATCCAGTATTTTGGAGCTACAAGCAGTAGTGACAGATCCACTTCCAGATGCTTTACGAGTGGCTGAAACCATAAGATTGGATTTGGCAATGAAATCTGTGAATGTAGGGGCAGAAAATCTCTCTGTTGAGAAGGGTGCTGGACCTGTTCAATCTCATAATGATAATCTTGGAAATATGTCTGTTCCCCAATCTAGTGGAAAAGAAAAGGATGTACCAACTCCTCCTGTCAACCAGGGAAAAGGAACTGAGTCTGTTCAAACTGATGATGCCAATCTTGGAAATCCGTCTTCCAGCAATAAGAATAATGTTCCTCGACCAATGACAGATCCACTTCCGGATGCTTTACGAGTGGCTGAAACCATAAGATTGGATTTGGCAATGAAATCTGTGAATGTAGGGGCAGAAAATCTCTCTGTCGAGATAGGTGCTGGACCTGTTCAATCTCATAATGATAATCTTGGAAATAAGTCCGTTCCCCAATCTAGTGGAAAAGAAAAGGATGTACCAAATCCTCCAGTCAACCAGGGAAAAGGAACTGAGTCTATTCAAACTGATGATGTCAATCTTGGAAATCCGTCTTCCAGCAATAAGAATAATGCTTCTCGACCTAGCTTGATGGAACGTAATACTACTGCTCATACTTATGAGGTATTTATGTTCATGTCCTTTTTGTGCTATTATAATAGCCTAAATTTGTGTGCATACTATTGTCCATAGGCCTGCAATTTTGTGGTTCTGGTTGCTTATAATTTGTATTTCATGTTGAGTTTTTGCAGTGGGATGACTCAATAGATACGTCACAAGGAGCAATGAAAGATCCAGGCAGGCTTCACTTACCTAGCCCAAAGAGGAATGCTGTTTCTCCATTGAAGAAGTATGAGAATAAGAGATTTACTAAGAGAAGAAAAGCTAAGAGATGGAGCTTATTGGAAGAAGACACCTTAAGGACTGGTGTACAGAAGTATGTTGCACCCTTTCTCTAGCCTTTGCCTCTAAAACGGGTCTTGTTATTTCTCTTTTTTTCTAAAATAATAAGAATAATTTATTGGGTTGGGTTTAGATGGTCATTGGGTAGGTATTATTGGTAATAGGTTCGTTTGTTTATCAATCTCTTTCAAACTTATTACTATGGATACCTATTATGACTAATAATATGAAGATAATTATATGACCCTATAACTTAATTACTAGCTGTTCTGCTTCTATTGACTGAATACATAGTATCTAATATTAGTGAGTAGTATGTAATATTTCAAGTCTCATTATTGTGATCCTTTTTAATGAAGGTATGGCGCAGGAAACTGGAAATTTATCTTGAATAGCTACCGCGAGATATTTGAAGAGAGAACTGAGGTACGTGAGTTTTGTAATTTTCCAATGGCTCTTAACTTTGCACATAAATTTATTCTACAAACAATACAGCATCAATGCGTATTATGTCTAAGACTTTTGAGGTTACTATGTCCAGGTTGATTTGAAGGACAAGTGGAGAAATATGACACGGTAGAGGCACATGTGAATAGTTTGCTACTCGTATGTATTTTGGTAATCTGGTACCTCATTAGAGCTGTATGTATTTTGCATGCTTTGTACAACTATAGGGATGTTGATGAGAGATGTTTTTTTTGTTGTTGCGCCCTTCTCAATGTACAGTAGTTGGATGTTTCAGTATATACCTGTATAAATTTTCCCATGAATGATGGAAGTACACATGGCCAACTTAGACAAAATGGCCTAAATTGAAGCATGATGAAATGGTACTAACTGTTTATACCCTGCACATTATTTTACAATGAACAGATGGCTTAGGCCAATATATTTCAAGTGTATATTACTTTTGTGGAATTTTTATATCGTTAGTTATATATCTGTTCAAACACTCACCACTCACCTGCCATTCTCCCATCCATCTCAACCCTGCCTCATAAATTTCTTTAGCCTTAGTCTTTCCTTCCATCACATCTTTTCTTCTTCACAAAAATGATGGAACCCAACGGCAAAGGAAGGCAAGGACAGCTGCAATCCTTTGAGATGAGGAAAAGTGAGTGAAATTTATTATTCATTATTATTGTTTGGGCTATATGGTGGGAAAGAAATCAACGGATTTTGAAGATGCGAAGTGGGCGGACGTGGGAAAAGGAAAAGTACCGGGCAGTGCTATGGGCTTTGTTTATCCTATTTTTAGGAATACATCCTTTTCAAACATTTTGCTTGAGTGGAAGGCTGCAGTGTTAGGATTGGTTTCCTCTCATAGTTGTAGATCTCTATACTAGTTTTCCTTTTTCTTTCTGTTATTGGTGGATTACTTGTCCACTTTTCTGTATGGTTCTTTTATGAAATAAAATTTCTCTTTTTCAAAAAAACAGAGCAAAAGATATGCAATCCTTAAATTGCTTTCTTATCTATGCATTTATATATATATATGCCTTCCTTGTTTATGCGAACAACTTGCTATAGGTTGCCCTCATTGTTACTTCATTAAAACTGGGATGATCTTTCAGTGTGGTAAGACTCCAGCTGCTTAGCATCTTGGTGTTCTGTGACTGAGATGGTGAGGAATAACTTACATTTAGTTTCTATGTATAGAGTTGCTTCTGATTTCAATATATGCAAGTGGCGGTTGAAGATATTTTTTTCAACCATGTTGCCTGGAAAACATAATATTTGAGTTCTAGGTCTTTTTAATTGATATACTGTTGTGCAAGGGCCTCGTTATTCAATTATTTACACTGTCTTCCCCAATAGGTTTAACTTTTTTGCTTAATAAATTTCTTGCTACAGATGAACTTTATAAGTTGATGTACTTCTTGCTGATGCTGGTCCAAGCCATTCTATGAAGTTTGGTTCCCACAGCCACTGGTGGTATTCCTGAGGTAATAGTAGGTTGAGTTCTGGCTTCCCTGTGGTTCATTCAGAACTTGCTTTGTGAGAGGAGGCTTAGCATCTAGTTCACATCTTTTTTATTGTCGATGTGGTGAGATGGGCATAACACCTGTAAAGAGAAAAATTCATTAGAACTCAATGAAATCGTAATCAGGCTGACAAGGTCGATTTTTCTGCCCAGAATATACCAGTCTTTTTCCATCAGAAAAGTCAGAAGAGTCAGAAGGAAAGAACAAGGAAAATAAGTAACTTCAGGGGTAGAGCCAGCTCAGCTGATTTGCCAAATCCATAGAACAAAGCAGTCAAAGAAGTTCAGAAAAGTTGACAATACTGTACTGCAACAAAACCAAGCTTGGATTTGTATGGAACTGGAGACGTATGTAATTAGCGAAATGCCAACAAAACCAAGCTTGAATATGTATAATTCACAATGGGCTCGAGACAAGTGGAGGTTGAAAGAGTAATTCAGTAACAATAATGATTAGCTACATATGCTGATATGAAAAGTCCTTGCATCTGGTTCTATAGTGATTATCAACTAATTTTTTCCCTGCAGTTAAGAGAGAACCAAGAGGAAGAGTCCTTGGCTTGCATGTCTATAACAATGTTCACATCCACAAGAAGGCTCACTTGCTGAGGCCCCTTTGAATTTTTCTGCCCAGATTTTTCCGTGGGCCATATAACAATGGTTCATTGTGTGGAAAAAATTCTTCTCTCTTGTCCTTCGGCTTGCATGTCTATAACAATGTCACATCCATGTTCCCAATTCAAGTTGCTCACGGAACCCTTATCACAAGAAGGCTCACTTGCTCAGGCCCCTTTGAATTTTCTTGCAGCCCTACTATGACCACTGGTAACACACAATTAGACTCTTTTTTATTGTATGGCCTTTGTCACATACTTGATGGTTAATTTGCAAAGAGGGAAGACCAAGACCCGCTGCTGGCTCAAAAATCACAGTATTCCTTGCCAGTTGCCACTCTATATAAAGGCAATAAATAAGTGTGCTTCTTACCAGATTACCTAAAGCAAAAGAGGAAAAGACTCACTGAAGGATAGCAGCTATGGCCAGGTCTGCAGTCTGTGGGGCGGCATTCATCGTGGTTCTATTATGCCTGCTCATGACTACTCCTTATGTCATTAATGCAACGGTAACTTGCGGTCAGGTTGTCACCTTACTCACTCCATGCATCCCCTTTGGAGTATTTGGAGGGACTGTGCCACCAGAATGTTGTGCAGGCATAAACGGGCTCCATGATGCACAAAACACCGCAGAGGATCGCAGAACTGCATGCAGTTGCATTCAACAGGGGGCTGCATTGATCCCTGGGATTGACTATGACCGCATTAACACGCTGGGCGATCGATGTGGCTCTCCTTGTCCGTACAAAGTTTACCCCTCTACTAATTGCTCTGAGTAAGCCTTCGATATACACACTTACCAATTTTATTTATTTTTTCTGGTTGATCCTGAGTTAGCAATAGCATGCTAACTATATTTATGGGTGTAATTTCTTTGCAGGGTAAGCTGAATCCAGAGAATTAATGCAGTGTCTAAGTGCGGGTATGAGCATGAGAATAAAGCGACTGGTTTATATCATCGAAAGCTAGCTAGAGCTATCATAAAACACTATGCTAGTATGCTTAATGTTGTGGTTTTTTTAGTAATTTGAAAGGGAGGGATGGTATTTGTTTATCAATAAATGGTGACATGTATTACCATTCATCTTAAACAAAACAAGTTCTTAAAATGTACATCTATATATCAATGTCGAAGACTCAAAAGTCATGACTGATTGCTTCCAAAATGCCCTCTTTCTTTCTTGAATTAATTTTTCTGTGTCCAGTGCAGTAGCACACGACGTAACAGACTTAACAGTGGATCCTAGAACAATCATTGTGCCTCTTTCTCTTGATTCAAAAAACATAAATAAATAAAAAGGGATTGTTTGCCCCTTTCCCTCTTGGGCTATATGATAGACAGGTTCCCATAGTTCATACAAAGTATCTTTAACCCAAGTGATAATTTATCTTTCCCTTTTATTTTGATGAACTTTCATGAAATATAAAGATGAGTTGGATGAAAAAATTTCCCATCTTCTATATATGAAACTTGATTTGTTGAAAGTTAAATCATAGAAAGCCATATATTTCGAATCTAAATCGAGCTGACATGGAAGTGGATAAATAATTTAGACAAAGAAAAATGCTTTTACTACTCAATCAAAATCGAGCTGACATGGTCGAATTTGCTGGATGTTACCTAGAAAAGTTTGACAGTAGTGTACCTGTAAATTGGAACCTTGCATTGGTGACGCCGAGAATGTCGGATTTAACTAGCAAATGTCAACAAAAACCAAGTTTGAATATGTATAATTCTCTTCAACTGGGCTCCAGCCATGTAATAAGATTGATTAGACCTCATGAAAGTTAAGCCCTTGGTTCTGGTGTTTATGGTGATCGTCATTCATCAACTTACGAGGTATTTATGTTCATGTCTTTTTTTTGCTATTATAATAGCCTAAATTTGTGTGCATACTATTGTCCATAGGCTTGCAATTTTGTGGTTCTGGTTGTTTATAATTTGTATTTTATGTTGAGTTTTTGCCGTGGGATGACTCAATAGATACGTCACAAGGAGCAATGAAAGATCCAGGCAGGCTTCACTTACCTAGCCCAAAGAGGAATGCTGTTTCTCCATTGAAGAAGTATGAGAATAAGAGATTTACTAAGAGAAGAAAAGCTAAGAGATGGAGCTTATTGGAAGAAGACACCTTAAGGACTGGTGTACAGAAGTATGTTGCACCCTTTCTCTAGCCTTTGCCTCTAAAACGGGTCTTGTTATTTCTCTTTTTTTCTAAAATAATAAGAATAATTTATTGGGTTGGGTTTAGATGGTCATTGGGTAGGTATTATTGGTAATAGGTTCGTTTGTTTATCAATCTCTTTCAAATTTATTACTATGGTTACCTATTATGACTAATAATATGAAGATAATTATATGACCCTATAACTTACTTACTAGCTGTCCTGCTTCTATTGACTGAATACATAGTATCTAATATTAGTGAGTAGTATGTAATATTTCAAGTCTCATTATTGTGATCCTTTGTAATATTAGAGCTGTATGTATTTTGCATGCTTTGTACAATATAGGGATGTTGATGAGATATGTTTTTTTGTTGTTGCGCCCTTATCCACGTACAGTAGTTGGATGTTTCAGTATATACCTGTATAAATTTTCCCATGAATGATGGATGTACACATGGCCAACTTAGACAAAATGGCCTAAATTGAAGCATGATGAAATGGTACTAACTGTTTACACCCTGCACATTATTTTACAATGAACAGACGGCTTAGGCCAATATATTGCAAGTGCATATTACTTTTGTGGAATTTTTATATCGTTAGTTATGTATCTGCCCAAACACTCACCACTCACCTGCCATTCTCCCATCCATCTCAATCCTGCCTCATAAATTTCTTTAGCCATAGTCTTTCCTCCCATCACATCTTTTCTTCTTCACAAAAATGATGGAACCCAAAGGCAAAGGAAGGCAAAGACAGCTGCAATCCTTTGAGATGAGGAAAAGTGAGTGAAATTTATTATTCATAATACTATTCATTATTGTTTGTGAGGTAAAATACCTCTAGGCCGTGCTGGGCTAGAGCACAGTGTTAGTAGTCGAGCTAGGCCAAACCATGGTGTTAGTGGTCGAGTTAGGCCAAATCATGGTGTTAGTGGTCGAGCTAGGCCAGACCACGGTGTTAGTAGTTGAGTTAGGCCAGACCACGGTGTTAGTGGTCGAATTGGGCCAGACCACGTACGGTGTTAGTGGTCGAGCTGGGCCAGACCACGGTGTTAGTGGTTGAGCTGGGCCAAACCACGGTGTTAGTGGTCGGGCTAGGCTCGAGCCTGGTCGCCATATATTTTCCCACCCTGACTCATGTGGGCTTGTGGGCCCATTGGTCCATGAGCTCAGGCTCGGTGCGCATGAGGTTGATTTACGTGGTGTTCACTCAAAAGACTTCTAGTCCTAAAAAAATTGGGATGTTTCAGGATCACCAAGACACCTGTCTAAATGGAGTCCTAGTCCGAGAAGGGTTAGGTTGTTCTGGAGTCCTAGTTCGAGGAGAGCTGGTTTGCTCTGGAATTCCACTCCGAGAAGGATTAGGTCGTCTAGGATGATATAAAAGGCTAAGGCCATCCTCCATGAAAGGTATGCAATTCTAAGCACTATAACCTATTGTGTAATTTTACTATCAAACACTCAATTGACTTAAGCATCGGAGGGTCCTTGGCCAGCAACACACCGGTGTCACCCACTAAAGCTATCTTGTTTTACAGGTTCTGGAGGACGGCTTGGTTGGTCACGCTAACCCAGTCCGGAAGAATTGCCCGACCTTAATCTCGAAGAGGTCATCTTCTGTTGAACCAAATTTAGGCATTAACAATTATTATTGTTTGGGCTATATGGTGGGAAAGAAATCAACGGATTTTTGAAGATGCGAAGTGGGCGGACGTGGGAAAAGGAAAAGTACTGGGTAGCGCTATGGGCTTTGTTTATCCTATTTTTAGGAATACATCCTTTTCAAACATTTTGCTTGAGTGGAAGGCTGCAGTGTTAGGATTGGTTTCCTCTCGTAGTTGTAGATCTCTGTACTAGTTTTCCTTTTTCTTTCTGTTATTGGTGGATTACTTGTCTACTTTTCTGTATGGTTTTTTTATGAAATAAAATTTCTCCGTTTCAAAAAAACAGAGAAAAAGTTTTGCAATCCTTAAATTGCTTTCTTATCTATGCATGTGTATATATATATATATATAATGAGAGTCTCAAATTACATCTTTTTAATATTATTTTGGAGACTTTATGACATAATTTTGGCTTAATAAATATAATTTCACTTGTTGTTACATTTTATTCTCACCAACTGGATTTATGAATTTTCTATATTAATTTGGTGAACTTATTAGGTGAATTTATCTTTTGTAGAAAGTTGGAAAGCCAAAAGATGAAGACATACATTTGTCCAAGTTCAAGCCAGGTGTGAAGAGAATTGCTGACGGATTTTATTGAAGAATTGATTATGGGATTATTGTGATTATAAAGAGAAGTAAATAGGGAGAAGAGAAAACAAAACCGTTGCTAAAGAGCCTATTTTATGTCATTCATAGCCATTTAACGCCCACTACCTCACCGTTATTTCTTTTCCACTAACTCTCCACGATCAACACATGTTTAATCCAATTAATCCCTCACTTAAACCCTTCATTACCCACCATGAATGTATTAACTTTCCACTCACCTCATTGAGTTATTTGATAAGGGAACCACTACGATAGATTTTGTTGGGGTCTTTTTCCGTCGGAAGGCTCGTCCGGGCTTGTTGATTCTCGAACCGCCATAGAGTGGTGGATTAAGTCTTTGTTGCCCCTTTTTCTGAGTTAGCGAGGACTAGGCCCAAAGCATCCCGAGGGAAAAGCATGTCCCAGGGGGTACTCTGTTCTTCTTCCAGCAGCTGCGTGTTTGATGTTAACGTTTCCGGCAGCTTGACAAAAAGTTGAAGATGACTTGCTGATGTAGATCTGGGATTATATTAGCTTGGCATGAGAGCTTGGAGTGTGGAAGCTAAAGATTCACAAGTTTAGCAAATGAGAATGCATGTGCTTGGCTTGGTGTTGGATATGCTTGAGTTTAGGGTGTTGATGATTTGTTATTTGTGGCTATGGCTATGGCTATGGGGATTTAAGAGTTTCAAGAGGAGGATGGGAGGAAAAGCTTGAGGCTTGAAGGCTATGGTATTTATAGCTTGGAAGGGTATGAGGAGGAAGGAAAATCTTGGTTGTGATGGTTGAGGAATAGCTGGGATGACTGCTGGAATGCTTGCAACAGCCAAAGGGAGAAAGGAAAGTGGTTCGATGGTTGCTGGGGGCTTAAGCAACCAAGAGATGTTGGTTGATAGTTGCTGGGATGCTTGCAGCAGTCAAAAGATGGAGGTTGATGGCTAGGATGGCTGCTGGAATGCTTGCAGCAGCCAAAAAGAGAAAAGAATATGAGTTCTCCTAGTTGTTGAGAAGCTTGCAACAACCAAGAGAGGCTCGTTTTGGCTGGGCAAATGCCTCCCAATTTATAGAGGGGGAAGGCTCTCTTTGGTTTCCAATAGGTAAAAGGAAGTGTTGGAACTAGTTTATTTCCTATGGGTAAAAGGGAGCATTGGGACATTCTTATTTCCAATGAGTAAAGCTAAGCATTGGAAAATGACTATTTCCAACGGGTAAAGGGAAGTGTCGGAATTGGCTTGTTTCCAATGGGTAATAGGGAGTGCTAGAAAATGCTTATTTCCAACGGGTAAAGCTAGGCATTTGGAAAATGACTATTTCCTATGGATAAAAGGAAATGCTTGGAAAATATCTCATTTGCTTACCCACATTGGAGAACTCTAAGTAATGGGCTTGGACTTTGGTGCTCCCAAGTAGCTAGCCCAAAGTCTCCAGTATCCAAGAGCTTCCGTGGGCCTTGTGGACCTCCGTAACCTTCCACACCACAATCCCTCATGCAAGCCCCGTAACCACATGACTTGGGTTCATGTAAGCTTGATAGGTGATTGACATATGAAAAATGTATTATTGGCTTTGCATGGCGTGGACACTATTATTTATTTAATGAATTAATTCCCAAAATATAGCTTGGATTAATGCATGACCAAAATTATATGTTATATCGGGCCTTAAATGTCTTTGGGCTCCTCGTGACTTTTTTGGGCCTCAACAGATTTCTTTATCCATTTCATTCAAAATTTAGTTATGTTTTCCTTTGTAATGACATGGGGGGGTGTGCATAGGGAGTCCACACCCCTTTTGATGGTGAGATGGGCCTCCTCAAATAACCTCCTCACATAGTCTCCTCATTATAGAAGCTCCCTAGCTACATACATATGCTCTGATATGAAAAGGCCTTGTATCTGGTTCTATAGTGATTATCAACTAATTTTTTCCCTGCTGTTAAGAGAGAACCAAGAGGAAGAGTCCTTGGCTTGCATGTCTATAACAATGTTCACATCCACAAGAAGGCCCACTTGCTCAGGCCCCCTTGAATTTTTCTGCCCAGATTTTTCCGTGGGCCATATAACAATGGTTCATTGTGTGGAAAAAATTCTTCTCTCTTGTCCTTTGGCTTGCATGTCTATAACAATGTTCCACATCCACAAGAAGGCTCTTTTTCCGTGGGCCATATAACAATGGTTCATTGTGTGGAAAAAAAATTTCTCTCTTGTCCTTGGCTTGCATGTCTATAACAATGTCACATCCACGCCCCCAACTCAAGTTACTCACGGAACCCTTATCACAAGAAGGCTCACTTGCTCAGGCCCCTTTGAATTTTTCTGCCCAGATTTTTCCGTGGGCCATTGTTATATGGAAAGTTGAATTTTCTTGCAGCCCTACTATGACCACTGGTAACACTGGAAAGTTGAATTTTCTCGCAGCCTTTGTCACATACTTTGGGTTGTTTTGTACTGCGGACTGTTATGGACTGGATTAAATTTTGAAATTATCTCGGATTGGCCTAAGCTGGATTAAATACTGACTTATGTTTGGTGATGCGTTGGACTAAGAAGCTGGATTGTAAAAATAGTGAAGATCTATATTTGGTGTTGTGTTAGACTAAAAAATAATTCTTATAATATTTAAATTTAATTGAGGTCTTTGACCTAAAAGATAAATAAATGCTACAGAGAAACCCAATTCAAAGATTTATAACAATATCTGGCAAAAAACAAGAAGATTTAAAACAATAATAAAAAGAAAACAAATAAAATTCTTTTATTTTATTTTATGAAGAATAAAATTATGATATTTGTTTTTTGGCTTCTCAAGATTAATCTTATAGTTGGTCAAAACATTGTTAAAGGAGCTAAGCTCACTCTATATAATTCAAGGTTTTTCAGGGACCAAGTAAAACAATAATTAATTTATATATATATATATATATGTATGTATAATTTTTGTATATTTGACTTTTGACTTCAAACTGAAAAATATAATTTGACAAGGTAAAAATTGCTTGCGATAAAAGCATCACATCATGAATTATTAAACTTGTTTCAATATCAAAAAAATATCAAACATTTGTAAATTACTATAGTTTGATTTTTCAAATGCAATATCAAAATAATTATTGTAATATTTTAAGGATTTTTATCTAAAATAAATAAATAAATGCTGCCAAAAAAAAAAAACTCATTCAAAGATCTAAAACAATAATTAATAGAAAACAAATAAAATTCTGATATTTTTTAAAGAGAGGCGTCAGACTCACGTGTTCTATTTAGCGAACCACTTTTCAGGCTCACTGTATTAGATGAGAAAGTGAGGCGTTTTTTTCACTATTGGACTATACAGTCTCATTTAAGTTAGTCCCGTCTCTTACCAAATAAGGATTTCGAGTGCTATTTAACCTAGTCCAGTCCAGTGAGGCATGCCAAACATGGTCTTGATGGTTAATTTGCAAAGAGGGAAGACCAAGACCCGCTGCTGGCTCACAAATCACAATCTTCCTTGCCAGTTGCCACTCTATATAAAGGCAATAAACAAGTGTGCTTCTTACCAGATTACCTAAAGCAAAAGTGGAAAAGACTCACTGAAGGATAGCCGCTATGGCCAGGTCTGCAGTCTGTGGGGCGGCATTCATCGTGGTGCTATTATGCGTGCTCCTGACTACTCCTTACGTCATTAATGCAACGATAACTTGCGGTCAGGTCGTCACCTTACTCACTCCATGCATCCCCTTTGGAGTATATGGAGGGACTGTGCCACCAGAATGTTGTGCAGGCATAAAAGGGCTCAATGATGCACAAAACACCACAGAGGATCGGAGAACTGCATGCAGTTGCATTCAACTGGGGGCTGCATTGATCCCTGGGATTGACTATGACCGCATTAACACGCTGGGCGATCGATGCGGCTCTCCTTGTCCGTACAAAGTTTACCCCTCTACTAATTGCTCTGAGTAAGCCTTCGATATACACACATATACCAATTTTATTTTATTTTTCTGGTTGATCCTGAGTTAGCAATAGCATGCTAACTATATTTATGGGTGTAATTTCTTTGCAGGGTAAGCTGAATCCAGAGAATTAATGCAGTGTCTAAGTGCGGGTATGAGCATGAGAATAAAGCGACTGGTTTATATCATCGAAAGCTAGCTAGAGCTAGCTTAAAACACTATGCTAGTATGCTTAATGTTGTGGTTTTTTTAGTAATTTGAAAGGGAGGGATAGTATTTGTTTATCAATAAATGGTGACATGTATTACCATTCATGTTAAACAAAATCCAAGTTCTTAAAATGTACATCTATATATCAATGTCGAAGACTCAAAAGTGATGACTGATTGCTTCCAAAATGCCTTCTTTCTTGAATAAATTTTTCTCTGTCCAGTGCAGTAGCACACAACATAACAGACTTAACAGTGGATCCTAGAACAATCATTGTGTTGAAATATAAGTGTTAGCTGAAATATTTGTTTAGTCAGCTCAGATTGTATTTTCTGTATGGTTAAATGTGAGCCATTGGATTATAGTCCAATGGACAGCTAAGGTGTAATCGTAGGAAGAGTGTAAGATTGTGCCATGTGTCTCTATCTCATAGGATAGATGAATGGATGGTTAGATTGAGCTGATGTAAGTAGGAATATTCTTATTCCTAACGGTTTAATAACAAGCATGTGGTGTGTGTGTGTTGGAGAGAAGAGTGAGATAACAGACTCATTCTTGCTGCGATTGTTCTCTCTAATTTCTCTGTGTTCTTTCCCCTTTCTTTAATTTCTGAGCTACTTCATCAATAATCCAAAACCTAATCAGATCATAGTCTGAAAACTTCAACACATTGTGCCTCTTTCTCTTGATTCAAAAAAATAAAAAATAAAAGGATTGTTTGCCTTCTTTCCCTCTTGGGCTAATAGACAGGTTCCCTTAGTTCATACAAAGTAATCTTTAACCCAAGTGATAATTTATCTTTCCTTTTTATTTTGATGAACTTTTATCAAATATGAAGATGAGTTGGATGAAAAAAATTTCCAATCTTCTATATATCAAACTTGATTTGTTGAAAGTTAAATCTTAGAAAGCCATATATTTCGAATCTAAATCGAGCTGACATGGAAGTGGATAAATAATTTAGACAAAGAAAAATGCTTTTACCACTCAATCCAAATCAAAATCGAGCTGACATGGTCGAATTTGCTGGATGTAACTATCAATCTACTAGAAAAGTTTGACAATAGTGTACCTGTGTAAATTGGAACCTTGCATTGGTGACGCCGAGAATGTTGGATTTAACTAGCAAATGTCAACAAAAACCAAGTTTGAATATGTATAATTCTCTTCAACTGGGCCCCAGCCAAGTAATAAGATTGATAAGACCTCATGAAAGTTAAGCCCTTGGTTCTGGTGTTTATGGTGATCATCATTCATCAACTGATCTTCCTCTCTTTTGGCAGCATTTCTCCAACAAAAATGTGTCCCTCACGGAACTCTTTTAGTCAAGAAGGCTCAAGAACCTTTGAATTTTCCTTGTGACATTGCTACACGAATAAAATTTGAATTTTCTAGCAGCAGCCCCATGACCTAACGGTAACAGATAAATCTCAAAACCCAGTTCTGTTCTCTATCTCTAGCCACCCTTGTCGCATATACTTGATATGCTTAAAATTACTATATATAAACCCAAAAGCAAAAAAAATAAAAGCATCGAAGTGCAGTTGCATTCAAGAAGGGGCTGCTAGGATCCCTGGGATTAATTATGACAGAATTAACACTCTTGGTGATGTTTGTGGCTCTCCCTGTCCTTACAAAGTTTACCCTTCTACTAATTGCTCTGAGTAAGCCTTCTACAATAAGTTTAATTGCTTATATTATGTATTGAAAATTAGATTAATTAAAATAATTTCACCAAAAGAAAAATTAGATTAATTATGTACTAATTAAATGCATGGATGTTTTTAATTTGTTTTCAGGGTAAGCTGAATCCGTTGAAGCCTTAAGCTTGAAGGCACTGTACTTTAGTGCTTGAGTAGGAGAGTAAGAATAAAAGCTTCTGGGAAAGCTGTCAGCTGTTGTTTAAGCACACAATGCTTTTGTGGTACTTGCGGGGTCATATATAGTTTGTATTGTATGGATCACCGGTAATCCAAATTGTGATCTACTTAGAGATTAATAAAACTCTGCCCTTTTATATATACCACACTGATATTGAAGTCCACATAATTTCGAATTATGTTCATATCACGAAATGCGTTTAAAGAATGAGTTCTTGATCTTTTGAAAGAGATTCAACTTTGAATTCTCTTGCCTAATCGATTAAAGAAAAGGAAAATGCTAGGCTTATCATATTTTTCATACCACATTGTGTACCACCTCCATTGTATTGGTGGGCTCCACCTCTATTAGAGATGTGGTACGTATAAAAATGTGATAAGCCTAGCATTACCCTAAAGAAAAATGCATTTCTATACGTGTAAATTAGTTTGAGTTAGGATTTTCCATTAATATCCATAATCAATAAGGTGAAGAGGTGGTTAATAACAGTATTAGGTATAAGTTAATGGTAGAGATTTCGGTTTATCGAAATTCAATATAGTTAACGGATTAGGCCCTCCCATATCTAGAACAATCTAAAATGGATCAAATTGACCAGCGAACTAACATAACCAAACTACTATTAAAGATGGCACAACTGATATTGGGTATCAGTTAGATTCCGCTGATTCGGATCCGGCCTTTCCCAACTGACATGTGAAAATAAAGTGCTTGCTAAACAGCACACTTCCTTTTCCTATATTCATATTGGGTATCAGTTATGCTTTAGAAATCGCTAGTCCGCATGTGTAAGCAACTGACCGTAGCACAATTCACAGATGAAAGGAAATTTTGAGAAACCATCAGATAATCACCTGATTACAGGCGTGATTAATGCACTTCCTTTTCCTATATTCATACATACACCTCACATGGTCAAAAGCAAGAGACAAAACTAGTCTCATGTGTTTAGGCCTAACATTATACCACATTGCCCAATCCGAAGAGGCTCTCGGAAAATAAAAACTAGATTCAACCTAAAGAGTTAATTGAGAACTGAAAAAGGACAAAAAGGGCATTTGTATTTCATGAGATAGAACAATCACAGTAGTGCACAAAGTTTACAAGGTATTAAACAAAACAAGATACAAAGGAAAGAGAATGCTGCTGTCCTGATAGCATTCCCTATATGCCCATGGGAATCACATTCCATTCCCAGATTTTCTAGCACCCACCCATAAAACCAAAAATTCAAATATTGAACAGACTGATGAAAAGGGTGCTTCCCCTTTTTGGGGAACACAGCCCTAAGAATAAACAATTAAGAATGAATCCTCGACACAAATTTAATAAATAATAAAATAAATATAGGGTAGCCTCTCTAAATGATCGGATGTCAATCTATGAACAATCTACCAGATACCGTGCCATGGACAGGTCAGAAGGTCAGCAGCCAGCTGCTTGTGTCAAAAAGTGGTACTACTTTCACTTGCAGAAAGCGAGGGGCCTTCCGACTTCACGACAGGTGCTCCTTTGGTACCGATGTCAAGCCCCTGTAACTGACCAACAGGTCCGTTCTGCATAATATCTGAAAAAGTATGAGAATTTGATTGATGCAGATGATGGGTTGGCATATTAGACTGGGAATGATTGAATTGTGGCATCTGCATGTTCTGGTGACCAGCAGGTCCGGGTTGTTGTTGAAGTGGAAAATAAGCTGATGGATGGTTGTATGGCACCTGGTGCATTCCCAAATTGAATGAGTCAGAAGGACTCATCATCTCCCCTGTGGCAATCTTGAGCCTCTCGACCTCCTTCTTCAGTGCTTCATTTAGTGCTGCATGACAAATTTCAAAAAAAATCAGTATCTGTTGGATAAAATGGAACATGGACCATTCTCTTTAGATGTAATTAAGATACAATATATTATGAAAGTATCAAGTATGATACAAGTTGGCATTTTGTTGCTTACCATCACGCAACTGAGCTTGTTGCTCCATAGCTTGTAACCGAAGCTTAAGCTCTGTGTTTTCAGTACTCAGACCTGTTGTATCCCTCTATACAAGACAACAAATAAATAAAAAAGTCATAATCTTTCAACAAATTAACAGACATTTGTGTGTATATATGCGTGCACTTCACACATGTGCAGAAAAACACTCTTAACAACCCGACGAAGGCTAAATAATAACAAAACACTGCAGCAGAGGGTGACTTAATGAAGTGACATTAGAATACTTCCTCCAGGCGATTGACAATGTTGTTACATATAGGATACTGGTAACGTTGGATGACCATAAATGGCCCAAGTGAGATCTATCATGTTCTAATTTAGTGCAGTGATGTCAAAACAGGTTGTGCACATGTTAAGTACAGTTAAAGAAAGCTGCTAAAATACACCAACACAAACCTGGAATAATGTGAGTTGGGCAGAGAGAGTGGTGGCTTCTGTTTGAAGGGTCTGAACTTTGCGTTCAAGTTCTTGTATATAGCGAGCCTTCCTTTCTTTCGAGCGAGCAGCAGACTGCCTATTCGCCAGTATCCTACATATGACAATTAAAATGTGAGACAGAGCTCCCGAAAATCACTAAAGAGGAAAGAACTAAAAGAACTTCATAGGCATTGCCATCATACATGCAAAAGCATATAACATGATTGAAGAGGAAAACCATGATGCATAAGAACGAATCTCAAGGTAGGAAAATGGTGGAATTTCAGTTCAACAGATCCATATATTTCCAAATTGATGCTATTATTATTCTCCAAAAGTCCAAATACAACCTTCATGCAGTTGGATTCTACTAAACACTCGATCTCAATTCATCTCTACCCAAAGCAATTAGTTGAAAACCCAGAAACAACCAACCTCTACAAGTGAATACTAGCAAAGGCAACGCCTTTTATCAAAAAAATAGCGGGTTTGTGTTGTGGTAGCATCAATCACTCCTAGTGTTTTAGTGTTTATTAATAACAGCATAAATTGCTTTCTAATTGTAACGGACTCGATCAGGGTTCACGTAAAGTAGACGTTTTGCAATTTCTCAAATTCAATTTCATGCCAAATTCAGCATTATACGTTTGTGATTTCCTTAGACCCAAAATCCAAATAAGATTCATTTTCACGTCCCGCATTTTCTCGGCAACCAGACACAGGAAAATGAAGCAACCCAGGAAAAAAGACAAAATTTTGCACACCTTTTGGCGCGTTTGGGATCAAGGTTCCAGAGCTCAGCGAGCTTATCAGGAGGCATGGCCTTCTTGGCCTCCATGACCTCCCCAAACACACCGGTTGACGTGGACGACCCATCCACCGAGCAGCTATGCCTGTGCCTCGACGACCTCTTCTCTTCTCCCTCACCACCACCATAATTTACATTGGGCCCACCAGACCCATCATCAGGCCCACCATTGGGCCCATTATTACCACCACCGCTCTGATCCGAGCAATTGCACCCACCGAGCTTGTCGAGGTCAATGTATGTGGAGAAGAGGTCCTCCTCCGATCCCATCTCCTCGATACTCGCCGTAGACGATCCGCCGTTGAACGGATCCGGCGCGGACAGATCCATCATGTCCTCCGGCAACCGGAAGCTCACCTCGGAGTGGGCCCTCCTGTGGCTATTGTGATGGTGGGGTCCACCTTCCGCTGCTGCTGCTGCGCCAGCTTCTTCTCGGATGAAAGGTCGAGGGGCGTTGGAATTGCCCAGCATTGTCAAACTCAACGATGTGAGCAAGGAAGAAGACGATGACGTGGCAGCTACTCCAGAAGCATTGGCAATGTTGGAAATGCCAATGCTTCTGGGGAGAGGGATTGGATTGGATTTGGCGTTGGGATTGTTGGAGCTGGCGTTGTTGATGGAGATGAATTTAGGGTTAGGGTTGGATTGATGTTGTGGATCTTGCATTGGTCTGGTTTCTGTGGACATTGTGTGTTTGTGTGTCCCTCCCTCCCATGTGTTTCGCTCCCTTTCTGTCACGAGGAATGATTCACTCTCTTTCTAATTTTTTTTCTCTCTCTCTGTTTCTTTTGTTTTCATCCAATTTTACCTCGCTTGCAAGAAACATATAGTAAGATTCTCAATCTCAATCATTTTGTTTTAGGAGTTATGTTTTACTTTAATGGAACATCATAGATCATAATGTTATTTCCAATTTTAGATGGTATAACATTTGTCCGAGAGACAAATTAAAAAAGAAAACTCACCTTCTTCTTCTTCTCCTAATCGGCACTCAATCTAACGTCAAAAGAATATTACTTAACTCCTAATAATAAATTACCTACTTAACTCAATGGTCAGATTATTTATTTTCATTTGTCACTATAATTTCATGCGCTTAAACACCACACATGATCATGTCTAATATTGAAAAAATTAAAATTTTGAAAAATTGCCTTTGCATTAGTCAAAAATTGCCTAGTTTCTTCACCTCCTGACTTTTGACAAAAGGTGAAAATGTAGTAGGTGAGTAATTGAAAGCTACTTTTAAATAGATGGACAAAGTTGTTTGAGGAGGACACTTGCGAGTGTTAGTAAAGATTACATCTATTATTACACATGTGGATAATGACTGTTTAATGAATTTGAATTTCACCATCTATACGCCCAACAGTAACCGCACGCTCATTTACGACTCATTTTAACTTTCTTCATTCTTAGAATCAACATCCAGAGGAGAAAAAACCAAATCAAATCCGACCGATCAAGAAGCCTTAATTTGAGGAATGTGTTCATCCAAGCCTCTGTGACTGATCATATGACCTAAACTTACAGTGGGCTCCAGTAAAGGCGGGACCCACTTACCCAATAAAACTTGTCCTTGTTCTGGGCAAGTCAGTTTACCCATGGTTAGCGGAGCTCACTAGACAAGGACATGATTGGAATCTGGAGAGTGAAGGAGATGGGATCTTTGACTGGACAATTGTCCATGGCCATGGACCTTGTGTATGGGTGGGCCACAGAGGGGTGATATGATAGGCTCAAATTCCTGCTTAATGGCTCCATTGGCTAACAGGGTGGAGTGATATTCAGTGGAACATAATTTCTTTTTCTTTTTCTTTTTTTCATTTGTAGATAAATTTCTTGTTTTTATTTATATTTATATTTCAAAGTTGGTTTGGAGAGCTTATTCTTAAGTTATATACTACCTACCTAGAAATGAG